AAAATTCAAAAAGTGTTGCACTAATATTTTTATGAAAGGGAAACTGGTAGGTTTTGTATTTAACATTAATTAAATATGTGAAAGCAAAAAAAAAAAGAAATTATAGGGTACAGCAATTTAATTAAAAAAAAGAAATATTAAAAACTAGCAATTTAATTAGTGACGACTTTTCTTGTCATTATAATCTTGAATAAATTAGTGATAACATTATGTCATCACTAAATTTTCTTTGATTTTGACTTAACAATAATGTCTTATTAATAGCATTTGATTATTTTTAATGAAAGTCTATTATAACCATAGAATTTGACTTTCGTTATTTTCAATTAATGATGTACTTTAGTGCTGGAATTATAAAAAATTGCAGGGCTAAAATATTTGCAAATTATAAAAGTATATTTTCACTTATATGTAATTAACAAATTTTGCCACCTATATTGATGAAAATTTGTGTTTTTGTACTAAAAAATAAAGAATAATACTATAGCAATAAAATCTATGCTTCAAACCAAATTAAAAATAAAAAAAAACATGATGATTGGTCTCAAATGTTGGGAAAATGATTATTTTTATTGAAACTATGTTATAACCATATAATTTGAGTTTAATTATTTTCAATTACAAGATGTTCTTTAGTGCTGCAATTATAAGAAATTAGTATAAAATATTAGCAAATTATAAAAGTACATTTTCAATTATATGAAATTAACAATTTTTGCCACCTATGTTGATGAAAATTTTTATTTTTTGCTAAAAAATAAAGAATAATACTATAGCATTAAAATCTATGGTCCAAACCATATTACAAATCTAGAAAAAAACATGATTTTTGGTATCAAATGGAGGGAAAATGAGTGAAGTCAAAATTTTGATCAAATCATTAGTGAAAGTGCCGCGCAACAAAAACAATATCCAAAGCAAGACCAAAGCAATATCCAAAGCAACGGAACACTTGAGACAAACCTTCACCGAGCTGAAGTAAACAAAAGCTTCTGCACTAAGCACCAAAACAGAGCTTCCGCACTGAGCACAAAACAGAGCTTCCGCACGGCCTGATACTTTCACCCACACTTCTCTGGCTTCTCACTAGCATCACCATGGCTGTCCAGCATTAAAGTACAAGGTTTTCAGGTGGAAAGGTTCGTTTTCTCTCTCCTATACATTTTCCCCAATTTTTCCAAATCCCTAATATGTAAGATCCTTTTTGTTATCGCTACTGAGTCGCCCGGATTAAGCTGTGTAGCTACTTGTTTTAGCTTCAATATTTCGGGTTATCTGACCACAGGTTAGGGTAGTTTAGGATGGTCCGAGGAGCCAGTGCTCCTTATTTTCTGAAATGCATTAAAGAGGGAGGAGACAGAATTGTTGAAAATTGGAATGGAAGCCTATGTTGGGCATTCCGAGAGAAGGGATCGAGTTTTGTTTAAATAACTGGCCAATTAGGTGAGTAGTTCAAGGTTATTTCATTGACAGCGCAATTAATTTTTGTAGGCTTACCCAGTAAGCGAAGTTTTGAGCTTCCATGGTTTTGGTTTGCTGTCGTTGGAAATACTGATATATTAAATTTTTGTGGCCCTATTGCTAATTACGTAATACATGTCTTGGTTGAGAGTTAGGTGTAACCGTGACCAAAATCTTTTTCGTTTTCTTGGGTATATATCCCCTTATCCGATAAGGTTGCCATGAAAGGGGACAGAAATTGAGGGAATGGACGAAGGAATCATTTATGTCCACTGCCCAGTTCTTGTGAATTAGCAGCAACCAAGACTCTAGTCTCAGTGGGTCTATTTTGTCTAATATTTTCAGTTGCATTGCAATAAATTCTGGTATTGTTTTTTTAAAAAGAAAATTCTGGTTTAATGCCCTACTCGGTGCTTTAACCTTACCTCAACTGAGATAAAATGCCATGCCCAAAACCCCTAAAGATGGCTTTCAGGTGTTCTACTATTTTTTAATTCCCCTAAAGATGGCTATCAGATGTTTTATCATTTTGTCTTATTAGTAATTTCTAGTCTTATGAATCAGGTTCATCCCTGCATCTTTGTGTCAAACCTCTTTTATATGGCTCTGCCCTTTTTTGAATTGTTCTCCATTTAACTCTTTGGAAATCACTTTCTAACTCACTGCCAGAACTATAACTCTTTGGAAATCACTTTCTAACTCACTGCCAGAACTAGTTCTTTGGCAACTCCGTTACCTCAGAATATCCAGTTCCATTTCAAAGTAAGGGCCAGCCCTTGCCTTTTTAAAACCCTATTAGCTACATAACTGCCTTTACGCCTCAGGTCCAGATGAATCTGAGGACAGACATCTACCTAAGTTAGTCATCTCTAATGAAAGTTTTCCATGCTTTGATGCTTGGTTAACCGCAAACCTTCTTAGACAAGTATTGGTTTAGCCATGAATTGTTTCTTGGAAAATTTTTGATCAAATACTAAAAGTTAGAATTGTTTTTGGAGCATTTTACTGGACATGTTCGTGGAAGTTAAATAACCAGTGGACAACCAGAATGAGGCCAAATATGCACCTTACATTGCACGAGCATAAATTTAACTTTGATAAAACATTGTTATGATGAGTGTTGCTGAATACCTAAGACACAATAATTTTCTGTTGCTCCTAAGATGCTTTTGCCTTAAGACCTGAGCCATTGTTTGAGTCCCTAGGCCGAAGGAGCTGTCTGATTCAGGTGTTTCAAGCTATGTAAGCCACTGCAGTTAGTATCAGGAATCTTATTGCAATGCTTAAAAATGAAGCTCTCTGTGGAATAGTTGATATAATATAGTCTTTAACATTTGTTAGTAGTAAATTGATGTGAACTAATGGCAAAAATAATGTAACTTCCATTATAGAAGGGCACGGAGAGTTTTTGCAGAAATGCTACTTAATTTCAGGTTTTTTGTTTCAAGCATATCTGCTTGGGACTGGTTTCTTATTGCTGCTAGATGAGATTTCTAAGTTTTCCCTTAATCTGCATTTTGACAGTTCTTGCGAGCTTCAGGATTACCTTAAGTTTACTTCCCTTTCTTGATTGTATTGGCTGCCTCGCAGAAGAAAAGAGAAAGGGTACAATGGGTGGGATAGATTTTCTAAGGCACCAAATATAATAGGGAAGAGTTCAGTCATTACTGCCATTAACAAAATCACATACTAAGGCTCTTCCAATGAAAATTGACAACAGTCATGGCCATTCTAATTTATTTTTGAGTTGATAATATACTTCTAGATTATATAGTAGTGAATATACTTCCAGATTATATAGTAGTGAATATACTTCTCTCATGCGCACATAATGTGTGGACCTAATTTCTTCCCTTGTACTTATATTTTTTGGCTGTTGGCTGATGGATGATGGCTAGTCAAATAGTAACATTTGACAAAGCTAGACTATAACAGGTTGCTTATAGTTTCTAAAAGGAGAGAAATGGTGGTTATGTTTCTTCTTACTCATTTGAAGAATTGAAAACCTGAATCTGGTTATGAGAGCAGGTGGATGATAATGTTCAATTTGGCGAACAAATTGTTCCTTCAACTTTTGTAACTTTATGATAGTTATTCTGCTTTAAAATAGTGATTCTATGATACTTATGTTTCTTAAGTGTACAAACATGTAATGACTGCTAAAACATCTTGTTGGTCGTTTAGATCCTCAGTTATCTGTATGAGGTTTCATGGGTTGAGTTGTTCATTCATTTTCATTGCTGAATTATGGTACCATTCGACTTCATTACCAGCTACTAGTTCCTTATTTCCTGCCAGTTGTCAGTGCATGAATCAATGTTAATGAGTTTTTTTTTTCTGTTACTTTCTTTTCTGGGCCAGTAGATTACAGGCGATACTTCCCATTATGATGCTGTAGCAAATTCAGCTGCATCTGGAGTACAGTCTGCAGGCCTTAATTCTGGTTAGTCGATGTTAATGCAGGCAAGCACAATAAGAAATGATGAAATACTATTTGCATATTTAACCGAAGGGTTAAATTAACACCCTATATCTGAAATCTGCACTTTTGATGGCTTAATAAGTAGCATAGTTATATTGATTATGTACAGCACTTTTGTCTGTTATGATTTACTATATATATCACAAGCTCGTTTTACTTGTAAAGATGGTGAATGTCATTATGATCATGGATAAAAGAACAAAAAAATCCTAAACAAAAAAAGAGGAAAGAATCCAAAATGTCGTACAAGAATTAGACTTGCCTGTTTAGAGAAAGCAACCCTCAGTCAATACTCGTTTTGAGGGAGGGCAAGCTCAGCCACTTTGAATCCTTAATACTATTAAAGTCTGGCTGCCTTCTAGGCTCTTTTTTTTTTCTTTTTTGAGCAATAGTCTGCCTTGTAGATTAATTTGCTACAATTCCAAAGCATTCTTGTGCTACATATACCATCAATCACACAAATCTATATGTATATACAGATTGACATAGCATATGTTCAGCAGTTTAATCAACCATAAAAAACAATGTTAATTTGATCCTAAGATTCCAGTGGCTCTACAGCATGTTAAGAGCAGAACAGGAGTTAATAACAAGCTAAAATTCCAAGTCTTTGTTACATTGAGGGTTTTCTTTTCATGAACTTTAGTATTATAGGGTACAAGTCCCATTTCAGTTTTATGGAATTTAGTATGCAGTAGCACCCAAACTAACCTTAATTTTCAAAAACCGAAAAAAAAAGAAGAAGAAAGATACAGAACTGGGTAATCTTGGCTTGTAGTGGTGTATTAACTTCTTGTGCAGATATTGTCCAGCCGCAAGATTTCATGATATCATAAAAATGAATGAGCACAAGAAGGAAGGCTCAACATATTAAGATCCAATTTCCAAAAAATATACTTAAATTGAGTAGATATTAATAGCACTTTGACATGGACCGTCTCCTAATACCTGGAGGTGTTGAAGTTGATATATTACCATTTGAGTGCTTATATCATTCATAAATTGATAGCACAAAAACGCAAAAAAAAAAAAAAAAAAATTTTTGAGGGTTGGTGCGTTTGTAAGCAAGAATTATCTGCTTCTCTTTCTGTCCATTTCTCAGCAGCCCGAGAATTTTGGAGTCTCTAACGCCTGTGACAAGCCATTGTCAAAGGAATGACAGGGTCCGAGTACGAACCATCCACAATTCTATCGAAAACCCACTTATTAGCGGCCTGAGTATAGTGCACCCCGTCCCAATTGATCATCACCGATGGATCTTTACATGATCTTGCTATCATAATCTCTTTGCCCTTTACCTTAATTTTGCTTCCGCAACCGAAATGCGCATTGAAGTTGTATTTTCCTCCATGTCCGCAACAGGCTCTTAAAGGGTGCTCAAAACCTGCAACAATTGAATAAAATCATGCAAACATTTCTTGCCCTGAAAAAGTCAGTGTATCAATCTCACAAGTATTTCGGTTGTGGGCTGGTAGTGTAATACACATACGTACCATGCTTCTTGGCGTGGCTGATGAGATCATATTTCAAGGTGTAGATGTCAACATATGTCAATGCAGCTTTTGGGAGCTCCTTCCTTAGCTGGAAAACAGCTTCCTTTAATTTCCAGTTGAAATATTGAGCCACATCGTTGAAAGGAGTTGCACATCCTGTTTTGTCAACTTGTGCGGCGGTGATTAGGAGACGGTCCATGATAATAATATACTTTGTAATTTTTGTCTTAATAATCTAAGTCTCATCACTTGTTCTTTATTATTGTACTCCTCCCCTTACCTACTTCTTTTACTCTTTTATGACAGATAAATGCTATTCATACTAGCTTTTGGAAGATATCTATGGTTATGGTTGAAGAACGTTGAAGACAAAATTGCCTTTTGCTCATGGAGTGGTTCATTTAGATGTTTTTCAATTTCTTAAACTGTGATTGCTTTTGTACTTGTACCTTATGTATAAGTGATATTTTGGACAAATGTTATTTTTGTAGGCATTAGTTGGGTAATGTACACTTGAATTTGGCATTTGAGAATGCTATATTATTACCATGTAATCTAATGCAAATACTTTTGGTTATCAATCGTTCATGTTTATTTGTATGGTTTGTTTAAAATCAATGATTTAGCAATGATTACAGGCCAAATTATGACTATTAAGCTATTGAGAAATTATCTAATGACAAAAAAAAGTTGTCACAAAATAGAAAATAAAAACTCCTTGTCACAACAGAGACTGTCACTAAATCTAAGCTACATTTGTGACGACAATTGTTATCAGTAAAATAGTTATATACAATGGCTTTCGGTGCTTTTTAGTGACGACTTTAAGTAGAGCATTTTTGACAAAAGGTCAAGTCGTCAATAAAACACTTCCGGATTGTTGTCACTAATGACAACTATTTAGTGACGACTTCAGGTCGTCACTAAATAGTTGTCATTAGTGACAACAATCCGGAAGTGTTTTATTGACGACTTGATTTTTTGTCAAAAATGCTCTACTTAAAGTCGTCACTAATGAGAACTATTTAGTGACGAAATTTTAGGTCGTCACTGTTTACTTTTACCAACGGGGATTTAGTGACGACTTTGTGACGATCAAAAAGTCGTCAATAAAAGGTATTTGTGACGATATTTGTATGTTCTGTGATGACTTTGTGTTGTCACTGATGAACAATTTTCTTGTAGTGTAGTAGGATTGTGAGCTTGCAAAGATCCTGCCCCAACCTTTTTCTTAAGAACTGAAACATGAAAGATATCATGTATGCGGACATATGAAGGCAATGCCAAATTGTATGCTACTGGACCAATTTTGGCCAGCACCTGGAATGGACCGAAGTATCGTGGGGATAATTTCTGGCAATGATGAGCCCGCAATTAATGCTGCATGTAGGGCTGAAGTTTAACATAAACCCAATCACCTATAGTAAACTGCCTTTTTGATATGTGTTTATCCACCATCTATTTCATTTTGTGTTGAGCTTTGGTCAAGTTGTGTCTTAACGTATGAACAACTTTTTCCCTAGCATGCAGGCTCCTGTCAACAGATTCTAACAATAGTGGCCTCATGTAAGTAGGGAATGTGAGTGGGAGGTGGTTGTCCATAAACTATCTCATAAGGAGTGAGCTTAACAGAGGAGTGATAGTTGGTGTTATACTAATACTGTACTAATGGTAGCCATAAACTCCAATCCTTGGGATGATCATTAGCCATACATCTACGATAATTCTCCAAGCATCTGTTAACTTCTTCTGTTTGGCCATCACTTTGCGGATGGTAAGTAGTGGACATATTCAACTGAACTTGCTGCAACCTAAAAAGCTCCTACCAAAATAAGCTCAAAAAGATTGTATCTTTGTCACTTACAATAGTTTGAGGCAAACCGTGAAGTCTATATATATAATCCATGAACAACTGAGCTACTAAGACAGCAGTGTAAGGGTAAGCTAAAGCCAAAAAATGAGCATATTTATTGAGCCTGTCTACCACGACCAGAATCACCTTCTTACCGTGAGACATGGCAAGCCTTCAATGATATCCATGGAAATATCCGTCCAAATCTTGTGAGGTATAGGGAGTGGTTGTAATAAGATATGCTGGGTTTTCTAATTTATGCCTCTAACAAGTGTCACACTTTGCTATATACTTAGCAGTATCCTTATATATGAGTTTCCAATACAAAACTTGTTTAAGCCTTCTGTAGGTTACCTCTACCCCAGAGCGTCTTCCTTAAGGACTAGAATGCCACAGAGCAGTCAATTTGTTCCTCAATTGCTGATCTTGAGCAACTACTAATTTGCCATTTCTTCTGAGTAGTCCTTACTACCAAGAATAATTTTTTATTTGCTGAGCATTGTTTGTTACCTTCTGAATCAACTCCTGCATTTGTGTATCCTGCTACCAACTTTGTTGTATCTCTTTAATCAAAGAAGTAGTTATGGTAACCAAACACATAACTGACCATTCTGTTGAGGTCTTTTGGATAAGGCATCTGTAGCTACATTATCACTCCCTTTCTTATACTGCACTTCATAGTCAAACCTCATTAGTTTGGCTATCCATTTTTGTTGTAATGGGGTGTGAACTCTCTGTTCTATCAAGTATTTCAAACTTTGTGATAAGGGTTTGTTTTACGTATTTTTAACTGCATTTTATTAGTTAATTTTGGTTTGATTATTTATTTTTATAACTAAAATAACTAAGGTCTTGATAAAAATCTACATTTTATGTTAAAGTGGTTGACATTGCATTTCTATTGATTTTACTGGTAAAAACTTCATTTTCATGCAGGATTAATGATTCAATTACCAAAGGATATCAATTGAGGAGAAAAGTGGATAATTGGTGATGAATTTAAGTGATAAAGAAGAAATGAAGTGAATTGAATAAAAGCAAGTGAAAACAACTTTGACACATTTTTGTATTTTAACTATATCTTGAGCTACACATATTTGATTGAGGTGACATTTATACCATTTTGAAGCTAAGAGATAGATCTAAATTTCGTATGAAGACATCAAAGTCCAATTTAGCTATTTTCTCAGTCAAAAGGTCAAAATACCAAAGTTCAACACTGCTGTCCAAAGTTGAAAATAGAGCTCTGACTAGGCTTTGGTATTCTGCTCATTTCTCGGTCCACAGAGCTCCAAATGGGATGATTCTTGAAGCATTGTAAAGTTAATTCATCGGGCTACAACTTTTGTGTTTTGTACAAAAGCTAGTTTGGTCTCGATCATAGAGAAAATCGTAGCTTAAGTGAGGCCAAAAATACAGAGTTGAAAACGCGAGTCAACAAAACGTGGCTTGAAGCCGCGTTTTGTCAAGTCGCGTTTTGTAGCCGAAATTCTGCAATTTGCTCAGTCATTTCTCTTATGTTCACACCACTTTCCAGCTATTCTTGGTAAGGGAATTCGGCTGCACATGCTTCAGAAGACATAAGGAAGAGGTATAGCCAAAGTTCCAAGTAAAAAAGCCATTGTTTTTTACTATCTTAACAAAAGGAGATTTAAAGAATCATAGCAGAAAATTTGGACTGATGAGGAGAGGAGCTTTTCATCAGTTTATATACAGAGACATTTGGGAGGTCTGACATTATCATACGGGAAAAGCTTAAAGAGTGCAGAAATGTAGTTCTTCAATTTCCTTAGTGTAGGATAGTTTAGCTAGTTAGTTTATCCATCTTGTATTTGTAGTTAGATTTGGATAAAGACTGCGAAGCAAAGATGGAGAGGTTGATCTCATGTGACAAGGATGATAAATCTTCGACTACTTTCTCTCTTGTATTAGATTTCATGTTTAATTATAATATAAGTTGGTTTTGTATTTTTATCATGTTTAGTTAAAGTTTATGCCTAGAGTATAGATGAACTTTCTATATTTTGTTAGTGATGTTTATTTGGTTATTTGGTGAAATTATATTGAGCAAGTTATTTATCACTTTTGATATTGTAATCATAATTAACTGGGCATTAATTGTAATTATCTAAAGGTGTTAAATTTGCAATGAGAATTGGAATTTAATACTAGTTCAAGAAAGTGATAAACTTAGATAGTACACTCACGATAGTAGAGGTGCACTTTTGTGGCTTTAGTGACTTGTTTCATGTAATTTCATAGAAGAAATGAACTTGTAATTAATATCATAACCACGAGAGTAGGTATAACTTAATTACAAGTATAGCTGATTCACTATGAGAGTAGGTTTCACATACATTAGGAAATTACGCTATAACTAACCAAGATAATAACATTAACTTAACCGGTAATTTCATTTGCAAGAGTAGTAAGGAATTCCATATCTCTAGGAGTTTTCTAGTATTATTTTCATTAATTTTATATTTATGGTAGTCTAGATAATAAAGGAGTTCGAAAAACACCGGTAATTGCAATCTTTCTTGTGGGATCGATCATTAATACCCTATACTCCCTCACGATTCGTATACTTGCGATAAATCGTGTGTGGGGTATTTAGAAATTTATAAATATAAAACTTGATTGGGATGAACTAAATGTTATATGTATACCCTGCGCACGTCACTTTGGTGGTCTGTCTTAATGATGAAATGTCTTCCCACGAAATAAGCTCTCCATTTCAATATTGCAGTAACTATAGCTAACATTTCTTTTTCGTATTAGGATAAGGCTTGGTGCTTGGGATCTAATGCCTTATGAAAGAAGGCCAGAGGTCACTTTCCTTGCATCAAGACTGCCCCAATTCCATTTCCAGAAGCATCAGTTTCCACAATAAAGTTTTGTGAAAAATCAGGTAGAGATAGAACAAATGGTTGACTCATTGCTTCCTATAACTGTTGAAATGCTTTAGTAGCCCTATTATGCCATTGAAATTGGTTGTTCTTAAACCAATTTGTCAGAGGTTTAGTAATTTTTCCATAAGAATCCTCTTAGCTCCTTGACACTCTGAGGTATTGGCCAGCTCATTATTGCAGATATTTTCTGAGGATCTGCCTGAACTCCTTCTGCATTAATGACATTGATAAGTATATATTTTACGTGTTTTAAGTGTATTTTATTAGTTAGTTTTGGTGTGTTTTAACTACTTTTATAGCTAATTAACTAAGAATCTAGTGAAAATATGCATTTTATGGTTTAAGTGGTACAAATTTGTATTTCTATGGATTTTAGTGGTGAAAACTTCATGTTTTGTATGTTTAAGGATTCAATCATCAAATGGAGTGACTTAA